CCTGTGGTGGCCGGGAGCGGCCACTGCACTCCAGTCTGGGTGACAGAGTGAGACTTCAAGTCAAAAATAAATAAATAAATAAAAGAAGAGACTTGCTCTCTAGGATGCTAAACACAAACAATATAAATATACTTTTAGACATTATACACCATGGGAGATACCTGGAAGTGGCTTTCTGCTTAAAACATGTTTCTTTATTATTAGATTGAGATGATATGTTACTGTGTTTTTGGCCTATAATATCTCAGCATGGATGTTGTGTTGCACCTGTGTGCCTTGGCACCTGATACCAATTTCTCCCAGCTACTTTGGAGGCTATGGAGGAGGCATTCTTTCAGGTCAGGTGATTGAGGCATCAGTGAGTTGTGATTATGCTACCACACCCTAGCATGGGTAAGAATGAGGCCTACCAACTGAAAAAAAAGTGCAGAAAATCAGGCTAACTCCATATCTCCTGAATCAGAATTTGCATTTTAACAAGATATTCAATTCATTGTCGTACACATTGAAATTTGACTAGGACCTTTTAACTCACCGTGAGCTTTCCATCTGAGCAGTATATACAATTTACTCTGTGTGATGTAAATATAGCACTAAAAAATGTACATACCTCTGTTGGTGTCAAATTTATGTTGTGTCATTCACAAAAATAGTGTTTACACTGAGTAAATTTTATTTTATCCTTTTTTTCTCAGACTTAATTTGTAACACAGAAATATTCTCCAATACATTATCTTATTGCATAATTCTATGTAATTATGTCACCTGGATCTGGTTTTCTTCACTCTTTTATTTTGCCTAGAGTCCACTACGACTTGGTAAATATATGTTGTTGTAGTTGTTGTTTTCAGGGGTTGTTGACATTCAAGGATGTTGCCAAAGAATTCTTTCCAGAAGAGTGGGAATGCCTGGACCCCCCTCAGCAGATATTGTACAGGAATATGATGTTAGAGAGCTACAGAAACCTGATTTTCTATATAAGGACATTCAACACACAATCCCTATTTCACACTAAGGATTTCCTTTTTATTTTTGAGTTGGAGTCTCACTCTGTCACCCAGACTGGAGTGCAGCGGCACACTCCCAGCCACCGCAGCCTTGACCTGCTGGGCTCTGGTGATCCTTCCACCTCAGCCTTCCAAGTAGCCAGAATTACAGGCACATGCTACCATGCCTGGCTAATTTTTGGTTTATCGTAGAGATGAGGTCTGGCCAAGTTGCCTGAGTGGGTCTTGAACATGTGGGCTCAGGCAATATTGCTAACTTTTAAAAAGTATTTATAGTCTCTTTAG